AAGATCATGGCAAGATTACAATAGGATCTTGGCAAGATTTTGATATGATCTTGGTAAGATCATGGTGGAATCTTGCCAAGATTGTGCAAGATCATGGCAAGATTATGATAGAATCTTGGCAAGATTGTGATAAGATCTTGGCAAGGACCATGGTGGGATCTTGGCAAGATCATGGTGGGATCTTGACAAGATCTTCCAAGATCATGGCAAGATCATGATAGAGTATTGGCAATGTTGTGATATATGTGATTGGTTTGATCAAGGTTCATTATACCTATACTTATGAAGGTCGAAAAATACAACTCAGCAAGAATTATGTATGACGAAAAATCATGAAAGATCTTGGCAAGATCTTGACAAGAATTTCAGACAATCTTGGCAAGATTTTGGCAAGTATGGCAAGATTGAATAATCTTGGCAAGATATTGGTAATATCTTGGCAAGATCTTGCCAAGATCAGTGTCTTGCCAAGACCTTGCCATGATCTTCCAAGATCATGCAAGATCTTACAAGATCTTGCCAAGATCTTCAACCTGGGCTATTTCAGACTCATTGACGTTTATTTTCAATCAGGCTATAACTCTATCCTCCATTCCTAATGAATGGAAAATGGCAAGAGTAATACCTTTGTATAAAAATGGCCAACGGAATATTCCAGGAAACTATAGACCAATATCAGTTTTACCTGCGATTAGCAAAATTATGGAGCGAATTATGTATGATCAACTGTATAACTATTTAACAAAATTTGAACTCCTTAGCGATTCTCAATTCGGTTTTCGAAAATCTCATTCTACAGCAACTGCATTACTGGACTGTACCAATAATTGGTATATGAATCTAGACAGAAAAATGTTTAACCTAGTAGTTTTAATTGATCTAAAAAAAGCATTTGATACTGTTGATCATCAAATTCTATTGAGGAAGTTAGAACTTTATGGAATAAAAGGAGAAGCTCTAACTTTGCTCAAATCTTATCTCACAAACAGAAACCAGAAGTGCCAAATTAAGAATTCCTTTTCTACAGAGCGATTGATTAAATGTGGCGTACCACAAGGCTCTATCTTAGGACCACTATTCTTTCTGCTATATATAAATGATTTACCTCAGTGTCTAAACAAAACAAAACCTCGATTGTTTGCTGACGACACAAATCTGACAGCATCGGGAGATTCTATAATTGACCTTGAAACTGCAGTGAATTCTGATTTGGAAAACCTCAGAAAATGGTTAATTGCCAATAAACTTAGTCTAAATGTAGCTAAGACAGAATTTATGTTAATTGGTTCAAAGGCAATGATTAAAAAAAATTCTGATTCACGTTTAAATGTTTTCATTGAAAATAAGCAAATTAAACAAGTTAGCGAATGCAAAACTCTTGGAGTAATAGTTGACCAGCATTTGTCTTGGAAAAGTAATTCCGAAAATATTTGAAAAAAAATAACTGCAGGAATCTCTGCTATTCGTCGAGTCAAACCTTTCGTTGACAAAGATACACTCATTTCGATATATAATGCTATTGTTCGCCCATACTTTGATTACTGTTGTGAAGTATGGAATGTGTTTGGTGAATCACAATCAAAACGACTCCAAAAACTTCAAAATAGAGCTGCTATAGAATTATCTTGAACATGAGTAATGACGTAAATCATTCCATTGCTCTACGTGCATTGGGCTGGGAGCCACTCAAAACTGAAAGGAAGAAAGCTAAGGCAAAAATGATGTACAAAGTATTAAATAAAATGGGTTTTAAATCACTCACCAATCTTTTCTCATACAAATGTGAGAAAACAAACTACAACCTTCGTGACATTTCAAGCGGTCTTAGTTTACCAAAACCGCGTACTAACAACATGAAAAATAGTTTCATGTATGACGGAGCACACCTTTGGAATTCTATTCCAAAGGAAATTAGGGAAAGCAAAACTCTTTCATCCTTTAGAAATAAAATCGCTGCTCACAAAATTGACATAGAGTAAATTGATGTAACTGTAAATATTCTAATAACCTTATCGTGTAAATAATTTAATATTCTACCTTTTTAAACTTAAGTATTTTAATATCTCCATGTAACATTTTTCTATTTTTGCACAGGCCCCCCGTGGAAATCAGCTTCGGTTGACAGGGTCAGTGTGTATAAATAAAGTTTCTATCTATCTATCTATCTGCCCAACCATTGCCCACCTAAAGGCCATTTTCCATGGCAGTCGCTTTGCCCGAGCGGGCGGAGCGAACATTACTTCAAATTTCTCTCTAGTTGTCTAACCTGTACATTTTTTGTCTGCCTGACTAGGCCGTTTCCATTAACGTTCGCTTTGCCCGCGCGGGCGAAGCGTTCATTGTTTTTGACGCCCGTCACGCCCGCGTGAACAGATTTTCAAAGCCCGCTCCGCCCGCGCGGGCGAAGTGACTGCACTAGACCGGCCTTAAAGCCTAGTTTCCATTTGGTCGTTAATTAGTTGTCGCTGGCACGACAAACGGTGGATGTGAAATAGTCTAATATAATAATAGTTGTTTTGTGGGTTATATGCAAATCAGTCTTAATGATTGCAGAGTTTTATAAAGTTTTGTTGACACTCTATTACATCAGCCACTTGTCGTGCCAGCGACAACTAACGACCAAATGGAAACTAGGCTTAAGAGTTAAGACTGATTTCCACTGTTTCGTTTTTCATACGCAGTACGCACATATACGCACGTAAAATTTTAAATCCGTTTAAATAGCCGTTTCCACATTAGAAGACGGGCAAGTCGTCTAGACGAACAAATCGTCTCAAAATCGTCTTTTAGTCGGACAAATCATCAGATGTGAAAACGTGTCGGACAAAATTTTAGACGAACAAGTCGTCTGAATTTGTTCGACTACTTGTCCGCCTGTGAAGACGATTTTTGAGAGACGATTTGTTCGTCTAGACGACTTGTCCGTCTCTAATGTGAATAGGGCTAATGTTACTTATGAAATAACCAAATAAATAAAGCAACAGAATTTAGTGTTCCTCAAGTTTTAGTATGCATTTGTTAACTTATTTGTAAAATATTTAAAAAATAGAAGGTTTCAAAGTTTTACGTGCGTACGAAAAACGCAACAATGAAAATCTGCCTTTAACCTGTGGATTTTTTGTCCGCTTGACTACTCGCGGACATGCCATGAAAGTTGAACTCGATGGAAATACCTCAATTATGCCACAGAATTTATGCGTCTCCAATCTCGTTCCCCGATCGCAGGCCTCGGGGAACGAGATTGATGCTTTTCTCGCGCGCCATAACGAAGACGACCCTGGGGACGAGGTTGTGGCATTTCTAAATTGGGTAAATATAAAAAGTAAACAAAGTTGAAAATTCGAAGTACATTTGTCAGTACTGTGCTTTAATATCGTGCTCTGAAACTGCTACCAAATGGTCATGTCAGGACAACAAGAGATGTACAATCATGCGAGGGACTTTCGAGAGAAAGTATGTTGTGAAAAACATAGTTTAGTTTACTTTTATACAGTCGATTTGACACTCTTGACTTTTTAGTAACGCCGTAATATTGTTGCGTTGTGATTCTGTATAGGTCAGCAATTGCATAGATTCGAGCGAAGAGGTAATGAACTTCTATCAAGCACTGAAGTCATATAATAGGTAAGCAAGGAGCGATTGCAGGCTATTGCAGATAAATTTTTGCTAGCTATAAATACTACAGTACTGCTTAATATCGGCAGATTAGATAACAATGTAAATATAATCAACCATTTGTTCATAGGTCTTAATTTGTGGCCAAAAAGTAACAAATTATCCTAAATCAGGTTTCAAGAAGAGTGTCTGAATTTTAGCAGTGTGTGCTGTTAGATTGGCTTAATTTTTAACGGGACATAGTTTATATTCGTTTCAAGTTTGGCTTTGTTCTAGTTCACTTCTGCATTTAGAACAATTTGTGGTGTTCCCACCAGCAGGAGATCAAAACCATGAATTAATTATTAAACTCAAGCAGAGTAAACTTAACTAATTAAAGTTTCAGACCTTGTACATTATGCATCTAAGCATCTTTGTTCTGAACCTTCAATTTTGTGTGATACATGTTGCCCGGGCAGCAGCCAGAGTGAATGCATGCCTGAGCAGGCATCTTGTTTAGAATGGATCTTAAATTAAGACTTTACATTTCAAAATCAAGCTTAACTGCCAGACTCACTATAATTATAGATTAAGCATAGTTATCAACCCTTCTCAGATCCTACTGGAGACTCCAGTGCAACTTTATTTTTGCCTGAAAATGCCATTAGCATGTTAGGCAGGCTCTTCCGATTTTGAAACCACCCATATTAGAGTTCCCGGCCAGCAAAATATTAAATTGCAAAAGTTACCAACTATGACTGTGGTCCTTTTCCATGCATGCCAGTACTAGGTGGAACATTTGAGTTAGTCCTTAGAAGGTTGCATTAAGTTGAACAAAGTTTGCCATGATAATTCAAAGGTTGATTTGATCAAATCTCAAACTTAAGTATAATTAAATTGAACTTAATTGTTAGATGCATGGGATAGAATTATTTACGATAGACCTTAATTACTTTTTACCAAATGCTTTAGATGCAATGTACTCAAATGCAAGGTTTGACACTGCATGCCTATTGCGAGTTGAGCAGGGCTCAAAATAATGTTTCAGTTATGCCGGTCATGGTGACCAGTCAGTTTCAATTGTGACCGGTCAAATGCGATTTCTGGCAACTCCCATGAGACCCCACGAATACTCACCTCCCTGCAATGCATTGCCCCCTCATTGTATTAATTAAGCAACAATTAAATTCCAGCTTGTGGCGCTCTTATTAATAACTTCAATTGTGATTGTCAATTCTGTTGATGCCGAGATGCATGCAGTATAATTATAACACAATTAAAGTTTAAGTATAAACTTTGTCATACAGTATCTTAATTTCAATTTGGTCTATTATAAGTTATCTGACTAGCAGTTGGCGTAAGAAATTCAACAACTTAAATTCAAATGAAAAGTTTAATATGAAGAAAATCCTTACATGATAATATTTAATGGTCCATAGCAGCACAATAATCAATATTGTTCCCAGAGCTAAAATGTGGTTGGTCACTATGGCCAGCATGGTACAAATTTGACCAGTCATATTAAAAAGTTGGCAGGTTATATTATAATAATAGGTATGCAGTGCATACATGTTGCTTGCCATCAAGACCATGAAACCTCATGACTCGGAATACTATACAGAATCCATCTCCATTGTTTTCTGCGTAAGTGCTATTCGTCATGATTCGTCACTCCGCAAGTACCGTAAACAGAAGCAATCATCCCCCTGGCACAGAACAAAGACACACAGAAGGTCGACTGGAGTAACCGCTGCCAGGTCCCAGCCAGTGTGTACCCAACAGCCATCCCCCCCCCTGGGCGTCCCCCATTTTGAATATCATCAGGGGTGTGGATACTTCCAAAACGCACACCAGGAAGGACCATGGCATCAGCATTTAGATGATGAATTACGGTCACACCAAAATCATTGGAAAATCATAGGAAAAACCAAGAAATCGTGCTTCTGTATGACTCATTTTGTGCCCTGGTTATGATGCACTACTGCTTAGGGAGTGGTCATTATGAAGACGGGCCATGGGTTAGGGTTATGGTAGGACAAATGTTGCATTGCAAAGAAGTAACACATAATATATATTTTTTAATCATACAGTATATGGTTGAATCATATTCACCTGAGGATAAAACAGGTAGATTAAACAGATTGTCCTAATATCTAACTTTACCTGTTTCATTGCTGTTAATTTTTCAATTCACACTGGGGGGGGGGGGTCAGAAAAGTTTCTACTTTTATGAGGAGGGAGAGGCAAAAAGTTTGCCTTCAGTCTGGAGGGGGGGGGGGGTCAAAAAAGTATTCAGTCCTTATTTTCCCCACTTACTAACTCCCTCCCCATAAATAATGACCACTCCCTTATAACTTTTGGTACAACTGGCCTGAAATTTTATAAAATATTGATTCAATAAGTTTAATATCAATATATTTATTGAAAAATAGCTATTATGTCAAAATAAGAAAACTTAAAGCCCGGCGCACACTGGAGATATCAGCTGAGCTGAGCGTCACTTGTGACTGTTGGCATAAGCAAGTTCCCCCAGTGTGCGGTGGTGTTTTGAGCGATTTCAGCCACACGTGCCATCGGCACCGAATATTCAACATGTTGAATAATTTCAGTCACAAATGAACATTTCCCCCAAGTGTGCGCGCTCGAAAAGCTATCACCTTCCATTGTAGATCGAATTAGACTTGAGCAACATTCCCCCCCTGACGAGTAAAATCGTCTGGCATTTGACAGAGTAAAATAATAAAGTAGGACGCATCCGGACCCATTGTCACTTAAAGGGTTAACAGGGTGCATAGGCAGATAATCTGATTAACCCATTGATTGGCAGCATTCTCCCCCTGACAAGTAAAATTGTCTGGCATTAGACATAGTAAAATAATAAAGTAGGCGCATCCGCGTGCATTGCCACGTAAAGGGTTAATCAGATTATCTATTAATGCCAGATTATTTCATTTTCTCTAATGCCAGACAATTGCACTCACAAAGGGAGTGCTGGCTGGGCGGCGCCCAATGGGTTAATTAATTATCAACTATAGATCAATGTAACATACAGAATATGTTTTCTATCATTACAGTGTCAGGAATGTTGACAGGTTAATTACTGATCTGCTGGCAATTATTAATACACCAAAGAGACACATCCTGTTTGATGAAGTTGGGTATGTTGAGAAATTTTAACTGTTGCAGTAGTTTTATAGATACATTGTGTTGTAAAATGGCCGCGGAGAGCTCAGAGAAAGACTATATGCGAATATGTGTATTTTAAGCTCTTCTGATTTTCCGAATACTGAAATTAATCTCATGACTGAAAATTTAACTCGGAAAGGCTGTTTTAAAAGTGGCTTGCGCACGAAAACGAAAGGTTTAAAACACAATTTGAATTCTTACAAATTTTCAATTCATGGAAATTCACAGTTTGGAAATTAGTGTTTTATTACATATTTGCAGACTATAAGCACCTCCATTGCGCAAACTTAACTCTAAAACTTGGTATTTTTGACGAAGCTACAGAGGTCATGCTGGTCGTGCTTAGTCTGCGAGCCCAGACATCATTTCCCACGCTCAGTCTTCGCTCGGGAAGTGGTCGTGCTTCCCCCAATTATTTTTTTTTATTTGGGACGTGTACAGCCTTGCTATATAGTATATACTTATATTTTACTTTAAAACCATTGTATTGTTAAGTGCTTTGAGAAGATTGATGTTCTTAAATCTAAAAGCATTGCATGACTGATCAGTCATCATTGGAATTTTTTTTCAAAATACATATAGTATGGAAATAGCATGGGCCTTCGTTGGAAATATTATGGAAATCCAATTTTTATACTGACTGCAATTTCCACACAATGGATTTTGTATGGAATTATATGGTTATACTATGGATTTAGTGATGCAATGGACCTAATATTCCCTAATGAACAAAATTTTGATCTAGACAAGTCTAGACAAATATTTCATCACAGCTTGAAAGAGCATCACAAAATTAGTAATATTCGTAATTAGTAAGTTTCGTTGCGAAATGTTGTAAAATGCGAATAATATAGCCCTGCGAAGTTTGCCGTTTTTCAGCCATTTTGTATTACGCACGGGAAATTGATACCTTTTTTCAGAAAACGGTCGGTCGATTTTACAACATTTCGCAACGAAACTTCGGAATATTAGTAGTGAAAGACCCCACTATAGCAACGGAAGTAATTAGTATGCACAATATGGGGACGGAAGTAATTAGTATGCAAACTTAGGTGTCGAAATTAATTAGTATGCAAAATCTATGACTTCACTTTGTTCGGCTAACACTCTGGCGGAATTTATAATGAGCTTGCAAAATCTATAACGCCAGGTAGCGCGACCAATTAATCCGGGCAAGCCTGGGGCAAGCCTGGGGCAAGCCTGGGCCAACTGTGACAGGCGACCAATTAGCATTACAAATAATTTCTGAAATAGAGGGATTAATGTCGATTTACTATGATTGGAGGTTTGAGGATTTTTACATTTACAGATGTTGCTAGCGTTCCCATATCTAATATTTAAATCGCGTTTAAAACATTTGATCCAAGCACAATCTTTTATCGAATTGAGAGTCATGAACTACAATGTATCTTGACCTATTTGTCGTATTAAGATCAAGAAAAGCAATTAGAGTTGTTTGCTGCAGCATTATTTAGCAAACCTCATAGATATAAGGAAGCTTAGGCCCGGTTTAGACGGCGAACTTTTCATGCGCCGAATCTAATTGTCGTAGATACGGCAAAATATCGGAAGCTGATTTAGACGTCGAACTTAATTGTACCGTACCAAATTGCGAGGACACTATATTGGACATATTTACAATGCAAATATATGATAATCATATTATGATGTTAAAAAATAATTATGCATTAGGTTCGGCGCATGAAAAGCACGGCGTCTAAATCAATGTCGAACCTGTGTCATATACGACTTGTCTTGTCGCATCTTCGAGTCATGTCGAACTTAATCAAAACCTGTCGAACTTAACTGATTTAGACGCCGCTCCAGCGTCGCACTTAATTCTTGCATTAGATTCGGCGCATGAGAAGTTCGCCGTCTAAACCGGGCCTTATCAAGAATATAAGTTAGAATTGGAACAGTTGTAATATATTTTGCGATAAAAACATGTAGTCGTTATATACGTTGTTATGTGTTGCTATGTCATTAGCCATGATTTCTTTCATTCGCTGCTCGGCATCATACATGGCATTTAGAAGCGGTGGTTGACGATACGATTGTTCTTGTATAAACCTTGCAATCTCGCCTGGAAGTATATTGGTCTTAAGTCGATCTTCATCACTCGTTGTTGGTTTTAAATCCAACATTAAGTACCCGTGAGGGCGGCTCGTGGCATCTTCATAACTCCTCATAAATTCTTGTACTTTTCCGGGATTTATTTACCTTGCAAGCATAGAAATTTGCTGTTTATCTCTTATTGTTTGAACAGCACTGATATTTCTCATTTCTTTGCCTTGATGGAATATATTTTGAACAATATAAATGATAGACAAATTTCGATGATGACTTCCTTTCGTAAAAAGATCAACAATACGTTTATCCTTGCTAGATTTTGCCATTAGATCATCCAATACGATCAAATTCCGTTGCGATACATCCAAGTAATCTGCGTTGTCGATATCGTCGGGAATGCCTTTATTGAACTCGATTCCAGGCATCGTCCGCATCATATCAAAATAGGAGGGTTGCCATTGACCATAACACCAAATGATACGTTGAGGAGCAGGACGTATGGTCTTCTGAGCATTCTCCAAGAGAGATTTTACCCATACGGTTTTGCCGCTTTGTGTACACCCAGCTACAATGCAAGTAAATGGGTGTTCCAAAACTGTAGCTCCATTCACCGTAAGAGTTTGTTGCCCAAGATTACGAGTTCCATACACATGAACAACCTTCTTGTGGCGAAAGAGATTACTCGCATTTGCAAATGTTTTACCACAGATGTCGCATTCATATGTCGCATTCGCAAGAGTCAGAGTGAAATGATTTAAAGCGAGGGTGAAGAGGTATATTTATCCCGTTTGCTATAGTCATTAAGACTACAGTAAAGACTATGAAAGACTATAGTCTTGATTATGAAGACTATAGTCATGACTATAAAGACTATAGTCCTGACTATGAAGACTATAGTAAAGACTATCAAAGATTATATAGTCCTGACTATGAAGACTACATTAAAGACTATGAAAGACTATAGTCCTGGCTATGAAGACTATATAAAGACTATAGTAAAGACTATAAAGACTATAGTAAAGACTATAAAGACTGTAGTAAAGACTATGAAAGACTTTAGTCATGACTATGAAGACTACATTAAAGACTATGAAAGACTATAGTCCAACCTCGTACCCAGGGTATTTGCTCTTGGGGAGCGAAATACCCTGGTATGGTCTGGTCACGTGAACCGCGGATTTTGCGTAAAATGGCGTATTGTTTACTAGGGTCGGGGGAGTGAGTATATATTGTCACAATTAATTAGATCGCTCTATTAAAATATAAACAATATCCATTGAATCTTCAAAGAAATCGTGAAAAGAATTGCAATTAAAAATTAATATTTATCGTGATGTGACTTTCTACTCTATAATCTAGTGTCGAGTTACAATTCAAGCAAGTTGGATCAGATTTCTGTTGGACATTTACTGTTGACATTAATATTTTAGTTATATTTGCTCGGACAGGGAAAACTGGGAACGAACGAAAAGGGCGCGAAAATAGTTGTAGGACAGGGGATTTTAGAGATAGAGTATATACATGTTAGGAGTTTATATTATGCGAATTATACTATAAGAAATAAAACTATCAAAAGTTAATGAAAGTGAGAAGCAAATAACATGGTGTCAGGAGTTTAAAA